TAATAATAGGGGGAAGGGATTACGCCTGACCTCGCCTGAGCCGAGAGGCTTAGAACAGCAGCAAAAGCAACAACAGCAACAACAACAACAACAACAACACCAAGATACACCCGTACACCGTGTACCCATACCCCCGTGTACGCGTCAACCAACAACAACAACCACAACCACAACCACAACAACCACAACAACAACACCACCAGCAGCAACAACAATAACAGCAACAGCAATCCACGAGCAGTCGGTCTTAGACTGCTCCTTGGCCGCCTTCGCCGCCTTCCTGGCCTCATGTGCTCGTGCTTTGGCCTGCAGCGGAGTGAGGGCCTTCGGGGATCGAGGTCCATTTCGCGAAGTATGCAAACACTGGATGCCTAGCTGTAGTTTGGCTGCAGCTGGGATGAAACATATGGCCGAAAGCCGATTCTCACGAACACACGAAGAGTTGACCGCGCTTGTCTGGTTCCCGAGCATGCAGCAGCCGTCAACAAGTGCCTTGCTAAGAGCAGGCCATGCGTCCAAGATATACTGGAGCACACCTCCTAGATACTTCTTCAGCATTTGGCTTCTACAGTCTGCCTTGTCTGCATTGGGTATACATGACGGGAAACACCGCACTGCTTAAATTCCATACGCTTGCCCTACCGTGAAGATCAGTGTTGCAGGCCACTGACCACTGGTGCCTCTCTTGCGAGTCTCTCCTGCTTCTCCTTGCAAGAAATGCAGATGTTTGGATTCAGCGTTTAGGTTTAGGGGTGCGTACTCAGGATTCATGGTTAACGGTCCAGACACATCGACGTTTGGTGACCGCCCATGTTGCGTTTGACCCTGCCACTAAGCTCGAAATTGATATCCATATCGATGCCACGGGTGCTGCTCACCACTCCTCCTCCTGCTCGTCCTACTACTACTACTACTACTACTACTACTACTACTGCTACTGCTACTGCTACTGCTACTGCTACTGCTACTGCTACTGCTACTGCTACTGCTACTGCTATGCCACTGCTACTGCTGCTACTACAGGTGCTGCATCTACTGTTACTGCTACTGCTACTGCTGCTACTGCTACTACTGCTACTACTGCTACTGATCAACGACTGCTACGAATACGAAGACGACGACTACGATGACGACGACGACGTCGTCGACGACGACTACTACTACTAGTAGTCAACAGTAGTTTACTAGTGCTACTGCTACTATTTACTACGACGATGGTGATGACAACGATGATGCCATAGATGGCTTCAAGACGAAGATGGGCGTGTTGGTGATGCTGAGGACGGTGATGAAGATGGAAATTAACATGAAGACCGACCGTAACAGTAACGATGCAAGCACTGTCTAGTTGCTGCTGTTCCCAACGATCATATTATGACTATGACCTTCTGCTGCTGGTGACGATGCTGATGATTGTGGGTCGTGTTCAGGTTAGCGGGCAGCCGCCAGCACACTGTGTTGTCTGTCAGCCTAGGCTTGTGCGGGTGTATTGCGGGGTTCATTTTTTTCTCAGCCCCTCGGTGCAAGCATGCGCTTTCCCAACAAATGTCGCGCGCTGCATTGCGAGGGCTACTTCAACGGCCCTGTGGATGGGTCTGTGGATCTCAGTTCTTGCACTTGGGATGACTTGTGTATGAAGGGGACAGATGACAGATGACACTTTTCCGGTGCCTGTATCAGGGGCTAAGGACATCGAGGGAAGGCCTGGCAGCTGACTATGCTGACTACAGACTCTAACAGTTCTGTCTGTGGAGAGTCCACGCGCGAAAGGCAAGAGGATGGCGCACAGCAACGCTCGAGTGCAGATTTCGCCCAGGGCCTGCTCTTGACGATGGAGCTTGCGTAGGAAATAAGTGTCCGCCTTGAAAGACGCACTCAGATCAAGCTTTGGGATTTCGGCGAAGAAACTGGGTCACGGCATGGAGGTTCATGTTGGAACGTGAACAACGAGTCAAGAACCTAGTCCGCAGCGGCGAGGATGGGCCCGCAACAAAAGGCACCACATTGCGGTTGCTCACATGCAACCTCATTTTCACGCCTAGCACGCCGTGGGGAAAACGTCACCGAATTATTGTGGCAGATAACTTGAACAACTTCTGGGTCTGTCATGCTAAACTGGAGAGTCAAGCCGCAGCCCTGCCAACTTTCACGTCCGAAGCTCATAGAAGGCAGTACCAGATGTTGCCAGAACTTGATCATAAATACAACGCGAGTGCAGTTCTTTGCAGCCCTTCTGACAAAAGTTGCTACTGCCTGCAGGAAGACATCCGCATCATGGTGATTGTACACTTCTGCTGAACTAGCTACTAATGGTGCGCCATCTTCCGCAACCACCTCTTCGACAGGTGGGAAAGAGTTCTATAAAGATTCAGGGTCTAGGGAGCATGGCCCATGGCCGCTCTATAGCGGAGCTTGAGCAGATGCCCTGAGCGGTTTTTGTTGCGCGATTGCTTGCGGTAGGTGGTCCCCAATCTGCACCATGCACCCTCGCACAACGTCACCACAAGTCGCTAACCGTACGACGCCCATCCCACCTGCAGATGTCTTTGCTGCTTGGTGGTGAAAAGGTCGATAGCTGCAAGGACTGCATTGTACCTCGACACAACTATAGTGCCGTCGGGGCGACGGTCTACCATTCGAGAACTGGTTCAATACCTCCAGGGTCGCATGGCTCAGGAGAATCATGCCCCCACAGGCACGCGACAGGCTTCTATGATGTAGTGACGTCTGATGCAGACGCGGCTCAGCTTCCGGCGTTCGCATTGCGTCTGCACCATTGATGTCGCTTGCGAACGCCTTGCCCTCCTTACGCATGAGAACCTCGCACATGCAGCTGGGTGCAGGAATGATCGTGCTAATTCTTTGGACCCTTCTTTGGTCTCCAGGGCTCTGGAGCGACTTGTCTAGGGCCAGGGCTTAAACGGGCCGCTAAACAACTAGACAAGGCGCCTTATGGTCCGAAGATGTCGGTTGTTTCAGTGGAACTGGCTGCCTTTGCCGGCACCACATGTACTAGGAATCCAGCATTGAGAGGCTGGCAGGGCCCAGCCTGGTTTCTTCTTCTTGAGGTCCAGTGGTGTGGGGGGAGGAACATCAAAGAATGGCAAGCTGCTACAGACATGAGTACTTCCAAAAACCCTGCATGAGGGTTCTGTGATAGTCCAATCAGGCTGCATACTGCACACTGGCAGCTTTTGCCCCACTCGCTGCGTCAAAGAATCCACAGCGGCCATTAGTCGACTACCAAGGAGCTCATGTTCCCCATGTTCCGCACAACTTCAACACCAACCTTGAACTCCACAACTCCTGAAATTCGTCACAGACTTCGTCCTTGCCGGCTCCATGGGTATTAGCGTCAAGAGTGTCGGGTGGAAAACCCGGGCCGTGGGGCCGTTCTTCGCTTCAGCGGCTTTGCTCGCTTGTGGGCTCTTCTGAGCCGTAGAAATACCCAAGGGAGCCCTCTGCCAGGATGTCGAATAAAAGTACATCTTCAAGTCATTTAGTTGTACAAGCATAAGTTGTAAGCAGGGCTATACTTTCAAGTAAGGAGGTTAGAGGACTGGAGCCCGCATCCTCGTGCTTAGCATGTCAAGCCTACAATCGACATTTCCTGACTGTTATGGTTACTAGGACTTACTGCGCACTTACCAGTGGTATGCTGTACCGTATCATAACACACCCTGATATCCTGACTTGGCGAGAATGTACTACAATCAATGTGCTACAGTGCTTAGCCTTTGCCAGAAGGAGGAACCCTTGGGTTGTCAAGGGAGGACCAGCACCGCGGGCGAGCGAAAGAGCGCTTGTTCGCAGGTTTTCCTAAGAAGAGCAAGTAGCAAATCAGGGTTTAAGGCCTTGGGGTTTTATGGAATGGGGGTTGGAGGTTTTGGGGTTCGTATGTCCTGCTACTCCCAGCAAGCGGTTCGCGCTCAATAGCTCAAGTCTTCCCGTCAGCGTCTGAATCCAAGCTCCCAGGTACTGCCGTAGAAAAGGCACTCTGTGGGAGCCACTACGACATCTCCAGGCTTCGCAAGGCAAAGCATAGTGCTGCCCTTCGGAGTTGGTTGCTGTTCGTTCTGCCTGGACAGGTATCGCTTACGGGCGGTTAACCATGGCCAAATGATGCAGCAATCCTGTGACCCAAGGCATCAGAGAAACTGCCTTGATTGTGGCTAATCTGGTCCCGAGCATGTTTGGCAGACTTGGTCATGGCTTGATTCAGTTCAGTAAGCAGATCCAAGAATCCAGAACCCAACTTTGCAAGCCATTCATTACCGATCTGTGGCTAATGTCAAGCTTTCATGGCAGCCTTGATTGCCCACGTGGAGAATCTCAGTAGACTACACCATTCCGGTCAGACCACTCCTGGAACACGTATTCGCACTCCTGGCGGCTTCTGATGTGGATCGTAACTGCGGAGCTTTCAACGAGTCAACGAGTAGAAAGCAGTTGTAACAGGTCTGCAGCAGTTGTAGTAGTAGGGAGGCAGGCAGAGAGAGAGAGAGAGANNAGAGAGAGAGAAAAAAAAAAACAAAAGCGAGCGAGAGCGAGAGGAAACCTGCCTTTGCAATTGGTTCTGTTGTCGCTACTGCTGCCATCCTTGTCTGAGCAGTACTAGTGTACCATTCTACATTCAATAGTTGGTCTTCGTTGAACGGTTGGTACGGCAGCAGCTGGGATAAGGAGTATGGTGTTTTCGGAAACCTCCTGCAACCCGTGCCGCTTTCATCGATTCCGCACGCGAACTTGATTTCAAAACTGTCGCCACAGATCCTGACAAACCTGAAAGCGAGCTCTGGATGCCCAGAGGGGTTTGACGGATAATTTCGGAAGACTCGCTCCTTCGCAGCGACTCCAGGAATGACCTGGGTAACGTACCTAGGCAGGCAGATCTATTTCAGCAGTAATTTCTAAGACTCCCAATCAGCACTACGACTGCTGTCTGGATACCCCCTTCACGGAATCGCAATAACAATGCGACAGCTCCAGAATCAAGAAACTCGAGCTAACTGTGTTCCTAAATCTCTGTGCCTGATACATGGAGTCCAACATGCGACAATGTCGGGACTAAACAACCGCAACCACCACCACCACC